CAGGAATGCAACAGAAAAATAAAATAAAATATGTTAATTAGTCAAAAACCTTCCATAAAAATATACCAATAACATTAAAATACACACCCTACAACCCAGGAAATTTGCAAAACAACAAGGATAATCCACAACACAAGCCTCCCACTGCAATACAATCACCATCCTGTGAATTTTACTGGTTATCAGCATTTTGTAAGCCCTCATAAATTTGACAGATTCATGATGAACTACCATATTTGAGAGAAATAACATGCATTTTGTAAAGTAAGTATTCTAGAGTAACCTAACTATTCACATTCAAATGTACTGTTTCCATATTTGGAGATAATAAAGGACATTGAGAGTAAAATAAATGGTTAATTATCAACCAGAGCTTTTTCACGACTTGAATACTTTGTCTTTCATTTATTTATTTATTTATTTTGATATATTTATCAACTATGTGTGTGCATGAACCTTAAAATCTTGAAGTGGACTAATAATTTTAGAGGCTAACTTTGGCCTTTTTCAACTCTCTTTCAAACAACAAGTCCTGCAACCAAATCAATAATGACCATCATTTCAATACAACCCACAGAGTCAAATCGATTTAATCTAGACTTATCTGGAAATGCATGTTTTTGGTATTTGAGCTACAGGAGCTAGTGCAGAACTAGTGCAGTTCCATAGCTGGACAAAAAGAACTCTTCAGACTGGAGTATTATGGATTTCTGCCTTACAGTTCCACCAGTGTTTGGCAAGCTATTGACATCTTCTTGCCACAATGACTAAACCACAAAGAAAAAACCAAAGCAACAACAATGGACTTAACTTTAGCAAATGCAAACTTTTGCTAGAAAAACTGAAAAAGAGACTAGTAAAAGAGAATTATTGATTCTCCACCATGCTGCTACTAAAACAGCTTAAGGCTATTATTTAAAGATGCCACCAGTTTATTCTCTTTGTAATTCCCTCAGCTTGGTCATGCAACTTTGATGAGGGCTAGCCCTGTTAATAGCCTGCCAAGGAGCTACTGTACAGTATGTACACGCAGACTGTGGGTTGACATGGCCTGGGACTGGCTCTGCTTAGAGGCGCTACTGTCACGCACAGTGCTTGCAAAGTGAATCCAGCCTTCTGCCATTAGCTGATGTTATTGCATAAGACTGCACAATAACCTTAACTCGCTGACTAACACAGAGTGATCAAACATTTACCATGTGTACATGTTTAGTCACGAAGTCTAAAGTACTGTAGGTTTAAGTATGAACCATGGTGTCTGCAACAACAGAATTAAGCACAACATGAAGAGGTCCACACATATGTGGTCATACAGCACAGTATCACCACTAATTAATCAGTGAATATTGCTCACACATAAACAACATGACTTAGAAATGGCTTGAGGGCCACTCAGTAGTATCCACCGAGCTCTAAATGTAGAGAAGAGCTCTCAGTGCTGTGAGTACACATCTCAGGAGGCCTTCTAATATTTCAGGCACAGAAACTCAATTATGAGGGTGAGGTTTTGATTTCTTAGAATAATAAGGCTACCAGGCTGAATTCAATTAAGAGCACCCAGAATACATTTGGCAGTCACTCTGAGGAAGGCCAACAGTGAATGATGAAAAATTTGCATCATTGATAGAAAAGCACACTGACTGGTAGAGGCTGCATGTGCCTGGAGGATCACTGTTAACATTTAGAGAAGAGAAATCAGTAATTGGTGGTGATAGACACTCAGCAGTTTGGCGCAAACACAAGTGTATTTCCATCAAGTTGCAGACGCCAGTCCTGGCTAAGCCCTGATCTCATTCCTCGGAATCGTTTATAAAACAGGCATTGCAGTGCTCAGCGCCACCTGTAAGGTGCCTATAAAGGGAACATTTAACCCCTCCGGTCTAATGAGAGTGTAAGAAGGTGCAGAGATTACAGATACGGTGCTGCTGTTAAGTCACAGTACATGTGGAAGGAAAACGCACATACTATGGCATTTCCTCCTCTTACAAAGTGATTTTCCACGAGTGTTCTCTTTCAAGGTGTCAGGGGCAGCTGACAGGAGGCAACGACTGAATTACAATGCGCCCTGCGTAGTCTTCCCCTCTCTCTCTCTCCTGTCATTGACTGTGCATGTGCCTACAGCATTCAAGATTTCTATGACCCAGTCATGACAGCTGACAATGAGTTCCACGCACGGCTGACGACGGCTCCACTGTTTTCAGTACTGGCATGTGCATCTCCAACTTCAACCAGCCTCTCTCTCTATAGTCACAGCCTCATCGTCTGCACAGAAAACTGGTACTGACAAGAGAAGCCAAATACAGAACAGCCAAGCAACTCATGCGTTTTTACACATTCACTGGTGGTCAGCTGGCGTTTAGGCAAATCAGATAAGGAAATATGTGATCGTATACGAGCTAACACTACACAACTACAGAGCTCATCCTAGAGAGTTTGGCGTAATCCACATGGATAAAGTGTAAAAAATAAAAAATAAAAATAAAAAAAATTTCTGCAGATCAAGTCAAAAGAAAAGCCAGCTGCCCACCTCATCCTGCGGCGGTTGGTTCGGTCTCTGATTCGGCTGCTCCTTGGTAGCTGTCATTGTAAACTCCTCGTTTTATACAACTTGGCTGAATCCCAAAGAAAAACGGTCAGATTCCCCTTTTTCCGCGTAAGAAGTCAGAAGAAGGAAGGATGCAGGCAAAGCTCCGTTTTATCAAATGCGGAATCTTAAACAGGAGTGGAGGAGCAGGGGAAGGGATCCGTCACGATTGAATATCTGCGAGGTCTTGGAGAGCGTCTGACGAGAAGCCAACGCAGCCCGTGCGTTCACATCACCCCGCAGGAAAGGGAGGAGAGTTTAGGACACGCTCGTTATCGAACCGAGAAAGCAAAAGTGTTCTTACATTTTACCACCCTGACACTTCTGCTGAACGTCTGGGTGAGAAGGTGGAGGGCTCCATAACTCTCCCCTGTCTGCTCTCAGGGATGCTGGAATTTTGGAGGGTCAGGGGATATAACAGAGAGGAGAGGGAGGAGGGATGACCAAGTGGTCGTGTGATGGTTTCCTGAGAGGGTGGGGGTTGCTGGATCCAAAAAGACACCGTCCGTGTTAGGAGTGCAGTGTGAACAGTTTTGCTCTGCAGACTGTTTTCCTCCGGAGCCCGGGGCTGGAGCTGTCCGCGGTGCTGAAAGCCCACTGCACATTCATCCTCAAACACCACGCCAGCTCCTCTGTGACACCGGCCGCAGTCTCACTCATACGGCGTCTTTCTAGCTCCACGTCTTCTTGTTTTGTTAGACAGGAGCTGTTGCTTGACCATAAGTGATGAGTTTAAACGGTCAATAAAAGAAATTCAAAGCCGCTCATCACAGCTGGCTGTGGGCTGTTAAATGGGCCTCTGTGCAGGGCCAAAATGCAATCCCATTGGTCTTAGGAGCTGAAATGACACCTGTGAACCCACCGCTATATCAAACATATCGCCAGGCTTATGAGAGCAATGTTTTTATGGGGGGTTTATGGTGCTGGAAGCCCTCATGCTGAAGCTGCATTGTAACATAGAAGCAGGATAGGAGGCTGCCTCACATCGTTAATACCTCTACCAGACAAGGATCGATACTTCATATCAGCGTTTGACTTTTGTGGTGAATTACAGGACCACACATACAAGGAAGGTGAGGTGTAACAGTGGCAGACACACTCTGGCCACTAAATACCAGCGGTGGAAAGTAGCAAGCCTCCATGGTAGGCTACTCATGTGTAGTAGTACGTAAGCACAATTTTGATGTATGTAAATATTTCTGTCTTGTTATATGTTATACTTTTCCCCTAGCACATTTCAGAAGGAAATACTGAATGTTTTACTCCACTATGTTAGTTTATAGCTTTACATACAAAATATTAGTTTATAAACTATGATGCACTGTAATTTATTAAACAGCCAAAAAGCATATACAGCTGCTCAAGTTCTCTTCACCTGGGACAACAGTAACAGTTGTTTTGTGCATTTTGGTATACAAGAACTCAACATACTGTTTCATACTAACAGGAAAAGGTGCCATGCATGCACCGTGCAAAAGTAAGTAAGGTTAACTTTAGAATGTTACTGCCAAGACAAAATAAAATCAAATGAAATAAAAGTTGTAAAACCAAAGTTGTTTTGTGTGAGGTATTTGTTAGTTGTTGTCCTTTCCAACATTATTACATCATTCAAAATCTGCACAGAATTAGTCTGTAGTATGACTTTGTGTATAATACTGCACAGAAGACAGTGATGCATCTTGGTGCATCACTACTACTGAAGGCTTTCATCCCAGTGGGGACTGTCCTCCTGTAGAAAATTACTGTTTCTAATCAACTCCACTTTACTCATTACACGTCAAACAATAGTCTATATAACAAATTTAAAACATCCTCAGAGGAGACTAAATTGAATAAACAAAATGAATGAAATAAAGCTGATGATTGTTCTCATTTCCTGCAGTCATGGAAGTGTGGACATGGTAGATGATACTGTACAGTATATACCCACAGTACATACAGCAGTAGACTCCATCGGTGACTCTTCATGCCCTGTATAGATGCATCTGCACTCCGATCTTGTCTGTAATTTATCTATTGAGGAAAATGAGATGACACTTGACAGAAGTGAAGTAGAATATAGCGGTGCTGAAAAACCCATCTACTTGTATTATAATAAAAGCACACATTGATCTGTGCGATCCATTTTACAGACATGGGTAATCAATCCACTTTGAGAAGTAAGTTGGTCCATGCAGCCTTCGGCACCACTCAGTGATGCTACTGCAGCAGTATTGTTATGAGCAGCAAACCCAATTATTTAGTTAGCACAGCTAACAGCAATTCTTGTACTGACTGTTTTCTCTAAACTTTTGTGTATTGTATATGAGTACCTACAGTAAATACTTTGTAATGTTTTAGTTTTTCCTACATTGTGATTTTCTCACAACCTCAGGGCTGGATTAACCTGTTATAGACACTGTGGTGATTAGTTTGATGTAATGCTTCTGATCTGAATGTGACTCAGGCCTAACACTTTAAAGTCTGTTATTAATTCACAAAGGTTACTTGTAAGTTAGTACAGTAGCTGAAATCAACCCATTCTCCACTGGATATTATCTCTTTCTGTTTTTTTTATTTGTATAGCACCAAATCACAACAAAGGTCATCTCAAAGCACTTTATCAAGTAAGGCCTTGACCTTAGTACTATTATTATTATTATAGAGGAAAATCCAACAAATCCCCCTTAAGCACGCACTTGGTGACAGCGGGGAGGAAATACTACCATCTGTTTTGATCGAAGACTCTTTTCAGACCACTGGGCCATGTCTTGTTAACTTCTGAACTAAGTATGTTCCAGCAGCATTTAAACATGCTGTAGTTCACCCACTGTTTAAAAAACCAAACCCTGATCTTTCATCTGCTTCCAGCTTCAGCCCCATATCAAAACTGCCCTTCATCTCTAAAGTACTCAAAAAGATTGTGCCTATTCAATTGCAATCTTATATTGAGGAAAACATTATCTATGAAAAATTCCAGGCTGGTTTTTAACCACGACACAGAACTGAATCTGTGAAGTCTGTAATGAGCTCCTCTTGACAAATGATTCTGTGGTGACTCAGCCCTTTTGGTGCTTTTAGACCTGACAGCTGTGTTTGATACTTCAGGCCGTGTCACTTGTCTCTTGGTTGCACAAGTAGGTGGGGCTTAGGGGCACGGCTCTGAGTTGGTTCCAATCTTATTTAACTGACAGATGCTTTTCAGTAAATAATGGAGAGCATTCATCTTCTGTTGCGGGGTACCTCAGGGTTCAATTTTGGGTCCTGTCATTTTCAACCTTTATTTACTCCCCCTGGGATCAGTTTTTATGAAATATGGTTTATCATTTCATTGCTACACCGATGATGTACAAATCTATCATCCTTTGACTGAATAGTAGCACTGTCTGTCAGAGTGCATGAAAGAAGTGAAAACATGACTGTCTCAACATTTTCTCCATTTACATGAAAGCAGAACAGAATGCATTCTGTTTGGTAAACCAGCCTCTGCTTGCACCACTGATGCTCACCTCGTCTCTCTGGCTATTCTGTCAAAGCTTGAGGGGGAAAAAATTGAGAGACCTGAAAAAAGCTGTCTATGTTTTAATTAGCTCAAGGTTAGACCCATGCAATAACCTTGTACAAGGTATATAAATATAGGAGTTAGTAGGGTTAAGTCAATTATCTGTGACCCGCATCGAGCTGGGTAAAAATGCAACAGGTTCTAGACAGCTTCACAGAAATCTGATCATGTCACCTCTTTTCCTTTCATCCCTGCTTTGGCTCCCAGTTAAAAACAGAATTGAGGTTATTATGCTTGTTTTTACAGCTTTGACTGCTGAGACAACACAATACAAAATCAGCTTCTCCTGGAAGCCCCCATGTCAAAATGTAAGTGCTGAGGTGAAAGGGCCTTTGCAGTGGCAGTCCCCCCAACATTAAATATTAAAGTTGCAACATAAGATCTTTTAAATCCAAAACTATGCTCAAAACATATTGATTCAAGTTAGCATTCCACCTCTAGCTCTAATATGATATTTTATTACCATTTTGTTTTGTTGTCTGTGATATGGTTTGTCTGTTTATTCATTTTCCTTCTATTATATGTTTTAATTGGTACTTACGCCTCCTTCTACTTTTTTACTTGCTTTTAATTAGCTAGTTAAACTAGTTAGCCAAGCATACTAATGTCTTCAGCTCATAACAAAGACAAAACCATCTTTAAATGTTGAGTATTGTTTTAGAACAGCCACTTGAACGTGACACACCTGCCGTATCTAGTTCAGGTTGATGATATACGACTGGTCAACTGCTGTTCAGGGAGGAATTCAGCAAACAGTCAGTTGTTGCATTCGACATTCCTTGGGTCCTATTTCCCTAAAACAGGTCACAGAGGCAAACACAAGACTAAACTCCATATGAAGGCACATATGAGTGTGTCCAAAATATTTTGGCAATTTTGGTGACCACTGATGTCGGTGCATATTGGGCGCAGCCAGGCGCAACCAGGCATAACGTGGAAAAGAGAGGGAATGCATTATTAGTGGGAGGATGGCATCATGAACAGCTGGTGTCAGGACGGGTTTCAGTAATGGCCAATTAAATCAGTTCCTCTCATCGCCTTTAAAAGCACCATCGGAAACCTGACTGATTGATGTCATGGTGGCTGATCTGGAGAGGCTCTGTCAAATAACATTTTCAATCAAAGAATGTGAAATACTAGTCCATGAGGTGCAGCGCTGCCAGGACCACATCTGTCTTCTTCGCCTACCAGTTATGTACTCCATCCCTAAATTGTGATGAGAAAAATATTTATTGTACAAGTATTACACATAAATATTCACTCAGTAGTCCACTAATATCACTGAGCAGCCTTTGTGCGTGTAGGACAGAAAGACTCTGTTCCTGTAACCAGCAGCAATTGTAGCCTATAGCAATGTTGACTCACATTTGCTTGGTGTGGACAGAAGGTGGGTCCAGATACGACAGGCCAGTTTGAACACCTTTATATCTATAGTGACACAATGAGGACTAGTTTATTTATCTTATTTGAAAATAATCTTTCCAAATTACAGATCTTATATCTGGGTACCTGCTCTCATGCTTACTAGTCTAAACTGTTACTGGACAAATTGCAACGCACCTGCTTTTGTGATAAAAGGTGGTCTGAACAGGTTTTAATGCAAATGTAATTTTGGGTCAAAATATGCATCAGAATTACATTGTGCTGCCATATCAGCATGCACATGGCCTCAGTCTACAATAAGTGTATTCATTCGTGACAGGAAAACACCAAACACACCAATGCTAAAAAAATACAGACTTGCAGCCAAGAAAAATTGAATAAAGACTGCATTTAAAGTTATACCAGCTTTAAGATCACTGGAAAACAGGGCCCTGTTTTGCCCCTGATGCCTCACATCTATCAGGTCAGACCTGATATTGTCTAGTTTAATTCACTATATCTTAA